TGTCTCAGCTCTGATTCACCGTCCTGACCCCAAGCTGGAGCACGAACCAGAAAATGTCACTGCTTCCCATGGCAGAGATGCTCCTGCCACGCCACAGCACCAGTTCAGCTCCGGGGGAATAAGGGGTTTTATTTCAGGGTTGTGTATTAAGATTCTGGTCACAGCCCAGCTTTTGTTTTTTAGCAAAGATAAATGGCAACTGTGCCATCTCCTCTTGCCTGCAGTATTTTTGAAGCTTTTTCTTCTCATAAATAGCTTTATCCATCTCTCCAAAATGACACTGGAGCACCATTTTGCTGCATGTGAGGCATTCGTGCTTTGAACCCTCAGCCCAGCTCTTGCCTGTGAAAACCACACCAACACAGCCACAAATCTCTGCTTTACAGCTCGTCACTCCCATTTAACCTGCCTTTGAGCAGAGGTTTCCTGGGCAGTTGCAGATGAAATACGCTTCATCTGTGACTGTTTGCACAGCCCAAGGTGCCCCTGTGCCCGCGCTGAGCCGGGGCTGCTGCTTTGCAAAGCCAGGTCTATCTCTGGTGAGGCAGAGCAGCAGCTCAGCTCAAGAGTCAATTTTTAACCGGGCTGTTGCTCCATGTGTGGAAGGGAACTTTGCCAGGGAGGTGTTTGTGTTGAGCAGCTCTGGCTCTGTGCACACAAACACAGGTGAGGGCTGGCCCAGCGCTCTGAACTCTGCTCAGGCACCGAGGGATGGATTTCAGCTGAAGGGCACGGAACGGGCTGTTCAGACTGGAGAACATCCCTATCTCCCTGAACTCTGGGGTTGGGCTCAGCTGGGCTGGTGATTTGTTCCTACCCCATTTTTCATGAACACTTATTGGCGGGATGGGGATGGGTGTTTGATCAGGGAACAGAGGTGGAATCTCTGTGCTGTCACTGACACCCCTTTGCTCTGGGCTCCTCTTCCCAGCTCCTGTGAGCTGCTCCCCACCTTCCCCAGTCTGTCAAACCAGAGCTTCTGCCAAAAGAATTCTTCTTCTCCTTCATTCTGTGCAGCCTTTCCGTGGCTTCTCCCGGGCAGCAGTGGGGAAGCAGCAGAGAGCCCCGGGCAGGGCGTTGGACCAGCCTGATAAAATTAGCAGAATTAGCAGCTCAGTGCTGTTCCTCAGGATGGGGGACACCCAGTACAGCCAGTTGGACTCRCAGACAAGAATTAATGGAAACGCCCGGCTCCTGGAGGGAGGAAATGCCTTGAACAGCCTTTTCCTCCGTTTGTTGTGAGGGGACGCTGACAATGGGCCCGGAGYGCGGCCGGGCTGGCTCAGAGCAGAGACAGAGAGTCTGCAGGAGGGAGGGCAGGAAGGGCCGGGTGACACGGATGGGTGACAGCAGTGATGGGGACATGGCTGGGTGACACGGCTGGGTGACAGCTCTGATGGGGACAGCACGGCTGGGTGACAGCAATGGTGGGGACAGCAATGATGGGGACACGGCTGGGAGACACGGTTGGGTGACATGGCTGGGTGACACGGCTCGGTAACAGCAATGACAGGGACAGCAATGACAGGGACAGCACGGCTGGGTGACATGGCTGGGTGACAGCAGTGACAGGGACAGCAATGACAGTGACAGCACAGCTTGGTGATCCGTCCTGCCACACTCTGTGCACGGACGGTGGGACTGTGAGCACAGCACAGCCTGGACACTGTGAGTGACACTGCTCGGCTTGGTGTGCCCTTCCTGGCACATGGGCTGCCACAAACCCCAAATCCAGCACCAAATCCAACCCCAAATCCAACCCCAAAACCAACACCGAGTCCAACACCAAATCCAACACCAAACCCCAAATCCAACACCAAATCCAACCCCAAATCACCGGGGCCGGGTCCATTGCTCTGAGCCACCCCGGTGCAGTGCTGGAGAAAAGCAGAGCAGCAGCACAATGATGTGTGCAGGGCCCTGGGATTCCGGGACATTTGTACCTCAAACTCCCACTGGCCCGTGTTCCATAAGAATTCACTGCAGTTTTTTGCTGAGCCCACTGTAAGACAAACCTGCCAAGGCAGCAGACAATGGAGAATCGCCTGTTTTCACTGTAAATATCCAATAAACACTTAACTTCTTTGTAAGTGGCCTTTATTTATCAGGGATGCCTCTTGGGCTAATAATTTCAATGTAATGAGACAAGAGGGACTATAAAGTCCCCAAGTCACGAGATATTATCAATCATGTACACAGGATTGACCTGGGACATGGCAACAGAACCACTTCAGTGGGTGTTGATTTCAGTTTTTGTGGCACCTTTGGAAGGTGTTTTTTGGGGCTCCTGCCCCGCCACGTTCTGTTCTGAGAGTTCATCAGAACCGCTCTGCTCAGAGCTCCCACCAAAGGGGGTGAATTGTTTGCCATCCAAGGGCTGGGCTGGCTTTGGCCTTTTTKGGGAATTTTGGCCCATTTGAGGGGTTTTTGTCCCCGTGGATGGTTTGTGGGACACTGCTCTGGAGAGGAGGAATGCTGGAAACTGGGGACTCCCTCTGCAGCAAAGCTGATCTGAGACAGATTTTTCTGAGCAAGGCTCTTTCAATCGAGTTACTCCCAAAACAGTTTTCTTTCTGGTGTTCCTGGGAGGGGAAATCACCATGCATTCCACTCCATCTATAAATAATTRTAATTGCCCATTCTATTAGGTAACTTAAAAGACTATTTCCAGTCTCCCTGACTTATCGGCAATTTGGAGTTCCTACTGTAGGCAAAAAAACTGGAGCTGGGCTATCACTCTTCCAAGCTGTTTTATATTTGTTGCTCTAAGCAGAGTCATGGGAATGTTTTTTTTTTTTCTAAACCAGCAGGTTATTAGAGGACAGACTTATAAATAACCAGTCTTTGCTATTTTTACRTATTTTCAGTATTGTCTATCATGATAGTGCAGCACAAACTGCAGAAAATCTGTCCAATTCTGCTGCTAAAGCTTCGTAACTCAACTCCTGTTTCTTTGGGTGATGAGGAGCAAGCCCAGGCTCCTTCTCTGCTCTGCAGAAATGTCAAAGCCACGCTGCCCACCCTGGCCCTGCACCTCCATTTCCTACACCTTTCTCTCCTCATTGCAGATGTCATTCTCCTTTATTGCTGAGGGGAAATCATTGGAGTTTGATTTACAATTAATTTGGTGAAGCCTTTCTGGGGAAATGATGTGGTTGCCATAGCAACTTTGGCCAAACTGGTGCTGCCAGGGGGGATAATGGGGCCACCAGATCCTGAGAATGGGATGGCAAAGCCAACCTGGGGAATGAGGAGAGGTGCAGGCAGTCTGCTCCTAAACTGACAAAAATAGTCTAACCCCACAACTCCATGAGAACTGAGCATTTCAGACAACATAATTTATATTTACTTCGTAATTTATTTATTTTCACATCACTGTATGCAATAAATTATAGGAGATATAATAATAACATTGTCATAAAATATTACCACGAAGTAAGTACTCATCTAATAGCGACTGTAACCTAACAGAGAACTGCAGTTATTATATTTAGATTTTTGTGTTAATGGTAAGTGAACACACTATTAGAGAACTTCACAGTAAATTTAGGAAGATCTGTCATTATTATTGCTTCTGTGCAAATGACTTTTCCTGCACACACACAGCCTGGGGAGGAAAGGTTCAGTTGTGCAGAGTCTCTGGAGGGAATGTGCTCCCGGCTGAACTGCTGCACCCCAGAGAATTTGGGGGCATTTAACAAATGCAGAGTGACTGATCAGCAKCTGGACAGGCTCCAGAGATTCCTGCCAGCCACAGCACCGGCTCTGCAGGGCTCAGCCTTTCAGGAAACAAGAATGAAAAGGCAGAGCATTCGGGTCGAGTCAGTGAGCACTGAGTGCACCAAAGGTCCTGGATCACACCCGGGAGTGAGGATTTCCCCAGCTCTGTCCCACCAGGAGCTTTTCTGCTTTCTGCTGGAAGCTGCTGTGTCTCTGCAAGCCTCGGGCCACCAGAGTGCCATCCAAAGTGCCATCCACAGCCATGTGCCATGGTCACTGATGTGCTGTGGGCACCGATGTGTCCTGGGCACCGTTGCCGCTGCCCGAGCGGTGCTGCCGTGGGCACCAATGYKGTGCCATCTCCRRTTCCAGAGGGGCTCCAGCCCTGCCCTGKTCTGTCAGGTCCCCTCTCCCACGGGGCAGCAGAGCATGCTGAGCGTGGTAGGAGCTCACAAAAGTCCCGTCACGAAATGTTCTCCATTCCTGCTCCCTTGGCCGGTTCAGTGAACTTTAATGGAGTATTTCCGAAACGTCAGGAACTGGAGCAGTTTGTCTTTTCTCCTCTGCTTTAGAGCCATTAGRGCTCTTGTTTTCTCCTCCATGTCCTGGTCGGTGGCGAGGATGATCTTGGCTCTTTCCTCGGCCTTCTTGTCYCCGGAGTTTCGGAAGAGTTTCTGCAGGGAGTCCTGGTTGATGCTCTCGAAGATGTTGGCMGTGCCCTTTTTGCGCAGGGCGGTGTCGAAGCGGTAGCCGTGCACCGAGGGGCTCACCCGCAGCGATGTGGACATGGCTGTGGGGCTGCAGCTCGGCTTTGCTCTCATCTACGGCTCTGCCCTGCTCCAGGCGAGGAATGGCTGCTGTGCTGCCTCCAGGACTGSTATTTAAAGGCAGGCTGGAGGAAAAGCCGGAGCGCTCCGGTTACAGGGGTGAGATCACGATGATGTCAACACCCAACAGTCGCAGGCAAGTTTAACAGTTCAGTTGCCAACTTTCCTGTCCTGCGGACGAGACAAAAAGTCCTCTCTGCTTCTGCAAAGGAAATGGCTTTTCTTTGACCCACCAGAGAACAGGCTCCAACCACTGCTGTGGGACTGAGCCAGCACAGCCCAACTCCACTCTACCCTGTGGCATGTGAAAAGCGCTGAGTGCAGAATGTATCGTACCATAAACAGGTAAAACACCAAGAGTCTGGAGCAAACAACTGAGAACTTGGGGAGCAAACAGCTGAGAACCTGGGGAGAAAACAGCTGAGAACTCGGGGAGCAAACAGCTGAGAACTCAGGGAGCAAACAGCTGAGAACTCGGGGAGCAAACAGCTGAGAACTCGGGGAGCAAACAGCTGAGAACTCGGGGAGCAAACAGCTGAGAACTCGGCTGTGTCCATCAGCAGCACTAAAACCCACTCAGCCTGGGCTCGGATCCTTTCTGCTGCTTTCCAGCAGATGCAATCACCTTCAGTGCACACTGAGCTGCAGTTTCCAATAAAGTCCTGTCCCAAAGGCGGGTGATCCATAATCTCCTCTGAGGTGATTCCATGGGTGTCACACCCTCAGCTGCACATGGCAATGGACTCAGGGGGCACAAGGAAACTCTCGGGTTGCTGCTCTGATCCTGCCTCCAATGTCTTTTTTCTTCAATTTCGTGCTCATTGGTTCTGTAAAGCAAAGTCACCTCTGCTCCAGAAGAGTCTGTGCTCTGCACACGCCCTTGGGCTGGGAGTTGGACTCTCTCTTACTCATGTGGGTTTGTTTTTGGCACCGTGTGAGGAGCAGGGAGTTGATGGCCATTGTGGATCCTTCTCACTCAAAATTCACCATGGACAGGGCAGAGCTCTCAGCAAGGGACAGCTCTGACAGGGGAGCTCTGCTGCCTCAGACACCTGGTGTTATTGTGCAAAATCAAACCTGGCCCGGAATAGCTGCGGTGCAAAAGTCACTTCAGGCCAGGAGCCAGAGATAAGTGTATTTTGGTTAATGTTTTAAAGCAGCCGGATGCTGCAGGGGCTCTGTTTGGAAAACTGAAAGATTGTTTACTGTTGTTGCTGAAGGGCTCAAGGAGCAGCCTCTGTCCCACCCCACGTGGGGTTTCCCATATTTCAGAGTTCTGGGGGTGACCCCTGACCACACTGAGGAGCAGTTCCAAAGAAACATCACCCAGATGTTTTTTATTCCACAYTGCCTTTAAAGCTTCAGTCCCTTTAGGTGGAGGGAGGGGATACCCTGAGCTGTGTGCCCCTCTCGGGGTCAGCAGAGCCATGGAGAGGTTTCACCTGAAGCTCCAGTGTGGATGTTTGTGCTGGCTCAGAGCAGAGCAGGGATTCCCTGGAGCTGCTGCTCACCCGGGGCTGTGAGAGCAGGGCAGGGGCTGCCAGGACCCCACAGTGACCATAAACCCAGTCCCAGGCAGGCCCAGATCAACTTCCAGCTGGGAAGGGCTTGCCAGGCTTTTACCCTTTTATCCTTGGGACAGGGAGGGTTCT